TCTTCTTTCATCAAGTACCAGTACCAGTTCATCAACATCGGCGACAGGGGCTTCGTCTACGGCCGCTGCCTCCGCGCCAGGTTGCCACTCTCGCGCCACGGAGACTCCAGCATCCTGGGGACCCGTCTGCGCAGAGGTTGGGAGCAACAGCGTGCGGAGAGTAGCGGCACATCTTTCTGGTCATCCATCTGAGGGCTGCCAGTCTGTTGCCAATAAATTTTTTGCTCGTCGGCACACTGTCAGTGCTGGCGTTCTCTCAGGGTTCGCGGGTGGACCCGCTGACTCGCTCTCGCACCCTTGGTCCCTGGGCGTCTCCCTGGGGAACACCGTAGGGTGGTCGCCACAATTTGCCGACGTGCGGCTTGATCTCACTTGTCTTTGGAGCAGCTCGATCAGCGAGCAAGTTTTTGCACAGTCGCCTGCGTGGATCTCCCAGGCTGACGCCTCCTCCGCTGATCACGAGCTTGCCCCCGCCCCTCGTTGGAAGTCTCCCACGAGTTCGTTGGGCAAGGCGGTGGATTTCACTTTGATGAGGGCCAAGGGGGTCCTCCAGGGTGCGGCCCGCCTGCCCAGTCTCATGTCTTTTCGGGGCCCCCCTGTTGCGGGGGAGGCCCCCGCTCCTCCTCTCAGGCTCTCCTCCCCTCTGCTTCCCGAGTCCTTCCCCACGGACTCCTTTGTCCCACGCATAGAGACCTGTAATGTTTCGGGGTGGGGGTCTGGGCAGCTTTGGTTAGAGAAGACAGACGCCGACGTCGTCCTGATGCAGGAGCATAAACAGCTGCCTCGCATGGTGGCGAGCGGTTCGTCGTGGGCGATTCGACACGGCTGGAAGTCATTGTGGGCTCCTGCGATCCTCGGCCATGGAGAAGGCCCCAGCGCAGGAGTTGCTATTTTTGTCCGAGCGGCACTCGGACTTCGTGAGCCTGACTCTGGTCACGAGGTCGTCGCTGGGCGTGTCATCGCTGGCTTGGTCGAGCTTCCTGGGAACGCGACCTTCCTGGCCATCTCGGCGTACTTCCACGATTGCGAGGACCTTTCGGACCGAAACGTGTCTATTCTGTCGTCCTCGGTTTCCCTGGGTCGGGCCCTGGGGTTTCCTTTCTGCTTGGGGGCGGATTTTAACATGGAGCCTACTGTGCTTCTCGACGGCTTGGGGGATCGCAGGGACCTGGAGGTTATGGTGCCCGAGGGACACACGTGCAAGTCCACTGCTGGCCTCAAGCAGTTTGATTTTTTCGTTTTTTCTTCTGACCTGGCCAAAGGTGTGGCGTCTGTTAAAGTGGTTCGAGAAACCAATCTCACGCCCCATTTCCCTGTGGCCGTGGTGCTCCACCCGTCTACTGGCAAGCTTAAGTCTCTCGCCTTTCGGCGTCCGCCGCCCTTGCCCACGGTTCCTGTGGTCCCTGGCTCGGTCGTTGCTTCCGTGGCTCCCTCCCCCTGGGTCCTCGACGTGCTGGACTCGGCTCGGAATGCTGTGCGCCACGCTGATTTTGGGCGGGCCCAGGAAGCTCTTGACCTCAGCTACAAGGAATGGGCTAAGGTGGCCGAACGCGAAGTGGCGGCTGCGACTGGAGTCACTTTGCCTGCTTGGGGGGCTCGGTCTAAGGAACCCACCATGTATTGGAAGCCCATCTTGAACAAGGGTGGTGAATGTAGTAACGAGCACCTCTTCTCTTGCAGGTGGCTGGCCAATATTTTCAGCACTGTGCATGGCCACTGGAGCGAGCTCAATCAGGCGGGGCTGCGGGAAGTGCTGCACAGGATGTCTGATCCCCCTCCCAAGGTGTTCTCTAACCTTGGGAACCTGTCTCGGTATTTGGAGTCCCTGTGTCACTTCGTGCAGGAGCTGCCCATGTATGAGTTGCCTGAAGGGCCGCTGTTCGATTTGTTTGAACACATGCAGGCGTGTTTTTTGGAAGACCTCCGAGCTGCGGAGGCTAAGGCACGCAAGGATTCTCATCGCGAGTTTCGTGATTGGCTGATGTACAGGGCCAACAGGGGAGCTAAGCGAGTGCACACTGTGTCGAAAGGGGCCCACCCCTGGGTCCCCACCACCACCCTCTCCTTGGAGGGGGTGGTGGTGGCCGACCCGTTGTCTCTCTTGAAGGCGGAGTCGCGCAAGTTCAGTAAGTTGTGGGGGTGTCAGCGTGAGAATCCTTGGTTTGAGTTTGGGGAGATCTGTGACGATCTGCCCCCTGTTCCCATTGAGGCTGTCAGAGAGTTTTCCAGGAAGTTTCGGGATAACACTAGCGTGTCTGTTGACGGTTTTCATATGCGCCATTTCCACATGATGAGCGATGACACGCTCTCTTCGCTCGCTTCGATGTTTAATGTCATGGAAATGGCCGCTCTTGTCCCGTCCCAAATATCTGTGATTTGTCTGGCGCTCATCCCCAAGGCCACGGCTGGATTCCGCCCGATTGGGAACTTTTGTGCCCTGTACCGCGCGCATGGGAAAGTCAGGAGGCCCCTGGCCCAACGTTGGGAGTTTCAAAATGCT